TGTAAGTGTTCTTGTAATCCGTTTGAAAATACTATTACATCATCCATGTATACCATGCAAATTTTGTTCTGTAGATCTTTCAAGACATTGTCCATACATCTCTGAAATGTAGCAGGAGAATTTTTTAACCCAAATGGCATACGGATGAACTCGTAATGGCCATTGTCTATTGAAAATGCTGTTTTTTCTACAGAAGTTGGATGCATTTCAATTTGGTGAAAGCCTGACGTTAAATCTATCGTGGAAAAATAAGAACAACGACCTAACCTATCTAAAATTTCAGTGATGTTAGGTAGAGGATATTTGTCATCAATGGTTTTTTCATTGAGTTTCCTATAGTCTAATTTTTTGGGGACTATCCAAATGGGTGAAGACCAAATGCTTTGTGAAGGTCTTATTATTTTGTTCTTTAGCATTTCATATATTTGTTTGTTTACTTCCTCCTTATGAACATAAGTATAACGATAACTTTTTGTATATATTGCAGAATTATCTTTTGTTACGATTTCATGTTTTACTGTGTTGCTAAAACTTAAATCTTTATTAGGTTTCTTAAATACTTCTGAATATTTATTGCACAATTGTACTAATTTTTGTTTTTCCTCCTTGTTTAAATGATCCGTTCTTAATAAGGTTTTTAGATTAATGTTATTACTAGAGGTTTCGTCAGCAAGTCTATAATCGTATGTTTCGTAATTCGATAATGGTGTGAATTGTAATTGAGTGGGGTCAAGTTCATGGTGTTTAGATGTTACAATGCTGTTTTCAACAATTCCTTCCGTTGGCTCTATTTGATCTGATATTTGTTTTCTCCGTACTTGCAATTCTACCATATCTGCCAATTTCTCTATCCTTTTTTCTTTCCTTTGCTTTTTCTTATTAATACATAGTGTCCATAGATAAATAATCGACTTTATGATTCTTTTTTCATTTACAAATATAATATATAAAAGCAGCGGAAAGAAGATTAGAGACACTGTCATACCTATAAAAAATGGAACTGTGAAAGATTTACAATTCTTTAACAATTCATCATGAAGACAAAATGTACAATTATCACAATTATGTTGTGTGTCATAATTATGAATTTCGAAGCATATCTTTCCGTTGTTTACTTTAGTTATTGTGGTAGGTAAATAATATTTATCCGTTTTTAATTCATTAATTAATAATTCTGTATTGTCACAGGTCAATTAGTAGAGTTATCATTGTAATTTGGTTAGATGTTAAATTTATCATTTGTTTTTTTGAGTGGGCTATTGGATGTCGATAGTGAATGGGTAGTGAAAAATAATTATTGTAAATAACACTTTTTAAATTTCGATCTGTAATTTTTTTATGTCTTCAATGCCTAAAGCGCCATCAAAGAACTCTTGAAAGTCAAAAAAAATAATGTCAAGGCTTGAATACGGGGAAAGAAGGGATACAAGCTTGGTGTTTAACTGTGACTTGTCTTGATCCTGTTTTGATTTGTATGGGATTTACTTTGATGTTGTTGGGAAAGTATTTTTTTATTATGTTGGGTTTTAAGATAGTTTTCGAGCTGCCTGTGTCTAAAAGTAATTTTAATGGAGGGTTTATTAATTGGATATATGGAAGTGAACTATGAATAAGGTTTGTGTTTAATTCTACTTGGGGTATTAAGTGGGATTGTGATTTAAATGACCGTTTTGAAAATTTTGATCTAATTCTGCGTCCCAATCTTCATTGTCATCATCGTATTCTTGGTTTAAAAATTCGCTTTCGTTACCTTCATATTCGGTATAATTAAGAGGGGGAATATATAATTCATTTAATTGTTCTTCTGTCAAATGTCCTTCGTCCGCAAGTACTGAAACTTGATCACGTACCTCCGTTATTGTAAGACGATCCCGGTGGAGTTATATCTGCCTCATTTTTATTAAATTCTGCGCCATTTCTAAATTGGTTTGAATTAATAGTTGTAACGCCGGACATTGGTGTAGGACTAAAATTTTTATTTTGAGGAATATTTTTGGATATTGTCGACTTTTGTTGTCCAAAGATTTGTTTGTTAGTTGGGAAGTTTTGTCTTATAGGTTGAGGTTGAATGAGAATTGGTTGGTTTGGCCAATATTGTCTTTGGTGATTTTGAAATGGTTGTCTATGGGTTTGAAAAGGTTGTCTATGATTTTGAAAATGTTGTATATGATTTAGAAAAGGTTGATTATGATTTTGAAAAGGTTGTCTATAGGGGAATTGAAACTTTTGAGATTGGCAATTATTTTGTGGTGAATAATTATTTCTCTGAGGTTGTAAATGTTGGTTATTATGATTTTAACTGGTATTAGGTCTTGTTTCAATAGATATTTTGTATTTTTGAAATTGTTCTTCCTTAGAAACGAATATTACTGCGTCCTCTAAGTTTCCTATTTCTTTAGTTCTAACAATTTGTTGGAAATTAAATGGTAGATTTCTAACATATGTATCTAAACAAATTTTTTGGAATACCTTGCTTAAGGCTCTTTTTACTTCCACATTCTCATCTGATTGTTTCAAGTATTGGATTATAATTTAAATGAATTAAATCCTGTTGTAACGTTTTTATATCGCGAGGGTCACCGAATGTTTGAATCAAAATTCGCTTAACATCTAGCCAAGATTCTACTTCTAATCTTGTTGATATATTTATTTATGCTTGACCATGGAGCTTATTCTTTATGGTTCGCAAGAGAAATCTATTTTGTTCCTCATTATTATTCTTAGAATAACTAGTTATTAGGCCATCGCATGCCTCTATAAAATCATTTAGTAATGATGGAGTCCTATCGAAATTTGGGATAGCATCAATATACATTTTTAACATTTGATAATTTGGATTTGCCATTGTTTCTATCTCTCTTATACTTTCGAGCAAATCTTGCATTAAAAATCAAAATTTTATCAAGTCTAACTAGAAATTGATATTCAGTCAAATTTTCTAGGAGTAAAGAAAAGTTGTACAGAACTTGAACAGGTATTAATTATAGGAATAAGAACATGGGAAGACTCACAGACTTACCAATTAATTTGGTGACCTCAGCAGGGAAAATAGCTGGATATCTTCGGTCTCTCCAAAGTGTTGTTGATAGCGCCTAAGACTTCAAAATCACCGGTATTTGGAATTGGTTCCACTGGACAATTTCTTACTTCTCAATGGTGTCTTCTAATACCGTGCACTATCCTACTGACTGCGCCAGTTAAGTATGTAATTCGTGGAGTAGATTCTTAACACATTTATTTGTTGGAAACATTTTATTAAATACTATCAGTTACAGCTACAAGCGTAATTCTTACACAGACGATGAGGTCCGATCTGGCTATTTAAAGGATCCTTTATCGTTTACAAATTTGGATTAGTAATGCGAAGTTTAGACGTTACATAGTCTTATGCATAAAAGGTGTTTAGATATCAAAATATATAAACAAAGACAAACAGTTTATGTGGACCGTATTTGGTAATAATTGTATAACTTATATTAATATAATAATTTAGTATACAAATGTACAAAATTAAAATTCAAACGTAATGTGGGGGTTTTACTATTTCTTCTTGTTATATAAATTGCTTTAAATTAAATAGGAATATCTTCTTCAAGGTTTATTTTATAGAAGTACAGTTTAATGTTAAATGGCTTTTTGTATATGTAACATATATTCACAGATATATATTTTAATATATATTTATTTATCATTTCCTTAACTACCAAAATATACGCGCCGTCCTGATCTATTTGTTTAGGCTCCTAGACGTAGATCTTGAAGTAAGTGGATGAAGCTACCACTTCAGGCCAGGTTTAGTATTTTTGTAACCGTAGCGGGCCAAAAGAAATGCCCAATAGTGAAGGTTTAACTTTAAGTAATCACTCTACTAATCTCTAAAGTACAATGATAATTTTCATTTTCCATGTATTAAAAAATAAAGCCTTAGTTTTACTAATTATCCTAATGAGATGATTGACATCATTTTTGCTTGCACAGTGTATCTATGTCCGCTGATATTTTAGAAGTGTTACTGTTTAGGATGATCTGGTTTTTGATTTATTATGTTTCATGCGTGAAAAAAGCTGTTCGCAAGTGTATGTACTGCCATATAAGGAAATTTGTTGAAGAGCTAATTTGGTAAGGTTTGGATATTGGTTGGGGCTAATATACTTTTTGTAAAATTCAATCAATCCGTTTGGAAGGCAATCATTGTATGCCGCTTTTAGAAGAGAGTTGCTTTGTATTTCAATCAATTCCAATTGTAGGTTTAGTCCGGCGCTTTCAATTTCAACATCAAACGGATTTTGGAAGACTTTCATGTTGGGCATTTGTGATTTGAAGTCTTCGAATCTCATCAAACTCATTCCTTAATATTTGCAATAATGACGCGTACTTGGTTAAGTCCAATGTCTCTTGATTTCTGGAAGATAAGGTCTCCCAATGAATCAACTGCTTTTGTTCCAGCTGTTTCTCCAATTATATGAGCTTCTTAGTGAAAGCTTGAACATGTTCATACATCTGCGAGCATAGTTGATCTTTTCCTTGCAGTTTTAGGTTGAGATCAGAGAGATACTTAGTTATATTAACCAGGAAAGCCAAATCAGCCAACCACTGCTCATCCGTTAGAANTGGTTTTTGATTTATTATGTTTCATGCGTGAAAAAAGCTGTTCGCAAGTGTATGTACTGCCAAATAAGGAAATTTGTTGAAGAGCTAATTTGATAAGGTTTGGATATTGGTTGGGGCTAATATACTTTTTGTAAAATTCAATCAATCCATTTGGAAGGCAATCATTGTATGCCGCTTTTAGAAGAGAGTTGCTTTGTATTTCAATCAATTCCAATTGTAGGTTTAGTCCGGCGCTTTCAATTTCAACATCAAACGGAAAGACTTTCATGTTGGGCATTTGTGATTTGAAGTCTTCGAATCTCATCAAACTCATTCCTTAATCTTTGCAATAATGACGCGTACTTGGTCAAGTCCAATGTCTCTTGATTTCTCCCAATTCTCCCAATGAATCAACTGTTTTGTTCCAGCTGTTTCTCCAATAATATGAGCTTCTTAGTGAAAGCTTGAACATGTTCATACATCTGCGAGCATAGTTGATCTTTTCCTTGCAGTTTTAGGTTGAGATCAGAGAGAGACTTAGTTATATCAACCAGGAAAGCCAAATCAGCCAACCACTGCTCATCCGTTAGAAAACTAATTTCTTGGCCTTTATTTTCAAGAAAAATCTTTACTTCATCGAGCAACAAATAGAATCGCTTCAGTGTGGCTGCTCTGCTGAGCCAGCGAACGCGACTAAAGTACACGATGTCTTCGTGATCTGAACCCACATCAGACAGAAATGCTTGGAACTGTCTGTGATTCAGGCCTCTTGCGCGTATAAAATTGACTGTCTGCACTACTTTATCCATCACGGGTTTCAGTTCGAGTACTTTTGTACACAACTGTTCTTGGTGTATAATACAATGATGCTGTATGATTGTGTGTGTGATGCTATTGCGCATTAGAGCCACAAAACAATTCGTTCTTCCTGTCATTGCTGGTGCACCATCTGTAGTCAAGCCGCAAAGATTTTCGATTTGAAGTTCATATTTTTCTATGCAACTCTTTACTTCGTAGATGTCTTTTCCTGTGGTTGTATCTTTCATCGAACGCAAATCAAGTAATTCCTCAATCACAGCATAGTCTTCTGTCACTCCTCTCACGAATACTGCCAACTGCGCTGTATCACACATATCAGTACTTTCGTCGAGAGCAAAACTATAGAAAACGCATTTCTTTAGTTGTGTTTTTAGAGAGGATTCGATATCTTTGGCCAAGTCATCAATTCTTCTTGCTATGGTTTGATGTGACAAGCTTGTATTTTTAACTAGTGTTTTATGCTCCGGACATGCTACCGACGTAAATATCTCCAAGCATTCCTTGACAAATTCTCCGTCCGATAAGGGTTTACTTCGCTTTGCAAGGCTTCTGCTATCATGAAGCTAATTTTTGTAACTGTCTCGGAGTTTTCTTTTGGTATTTTGAACATCGCCTGTTGACCGGTCATATTTTTCTTTAACGAATTTACACGATCTATTCGAATTTGACCTTTGTATTCATCGTATTTAGAAGCGTGTTTTGTAGAGTAATGACGCTTAATATTGTACTCCTTGCAAACTGATATTTTGTCATGACATATGAGGCACAGTATGTTCCCATTTTGTTCTATAACAAAATAGGTTTCAGTCCAACTATTTTTAAATGTTCGACATTCCGTGTTAACTTTACGTTTTTTTCCTGATGACATCCTGATCTAAAACAAACATAAAACAACACTATGTCTACCAGCTTCGGTGGCTTGCATGTTGTTCGTAATCTCAAACAATGTTAAACAAAAGACAATCGTAATTAAACACATATATTTTTAGTTAGAAACAAATTACTTACCTTATTTCCACTTTTACTCGAAGAAACTTCATTAGCAACCTAATGATACAGGTAAGTATGTAAATCCGTGCTCATGCTTCTTTAGGACTTTTCCAGGGTAGAAATCATTATCGCATTGGACAATTACATATGTGTTACTACTTAAATTACTAATACTCATGGGCTTTGGCTTAGATCATTTTCTTGGATAGTTTCTTTATGTGCTATTTTAGTCTTTTTGGCTTCCTTGCCTACAAAATTTTTTTTTGTAATTAGTATCACAATTATTATTGTTACAGCAGTCTTCAAGTCCAAGGTATCACATACATTTATCTTGGTCTTTTCTATTACTTCCGGTTTCTTCATTACTGTTTTGGTGAATTCCTTTATTTTCTGTGCCTTTTACAGCTTCTAAAGTTTTAATGTTTATTGGATTACTATTTTCTGTATCATCACATGAAGTAATATCTTCATTGTTTGGAATATTTGACTCCATTGTGCATCTTTAAATTATTTTAAATAAAAAAAGTACAAGTTAAGTTTGCTCTAATTATTATTAATTGTTTCAATTATGTCTAATTTGCTTGGAATAATTTTGTCATGAACTGTAGTTATTTGATAGATACAGTTTTGAATCAGCATCCATAAATACTTAAGACTGTTTGGATAACATGCATTGACCACATGAAATAATTTAAAATTAAAGTCAAGCGCCTTGACTTCTCACATTTGAACTGAATTGTATCTACATCGACATATACAGACTGTATATTTTGCAATGTAGGACCTTCAGTTAATATGGTTGAACAGTCTGGTTCACGTGATACTTTTTATCCCTGTAGTTACACATTGATTCTTGGATATCACCAGGAACCTGAAATTATAAGCATGTATTGCAGGAAACAGTTAATGCCATTTTTATCCAAGCTTGATGATTCATTAAACTCAAGAACTTGCTACTGATTGCTCTAGAAGAAATTAACACTATAGCTGACGAAATGTCAAGCTAATTTTAAAAGAACAAACTATCAATTAGCTATACCTTGACGTGCATTAAAAGACATTCCAAGACTTCTGCAGTAGAAAATTTCCAATGCTTTTTAGTTGAAATTTTTGTTCATGATTTTAGAGGAATCTAGTATAGCAATAAATATAGATGAACAGCTACTTTCGTATTTGTAATAAAATATGTACTTTAATAAACTTTTCAAGCATGTTATATATTCTTTACCTTCAGAACAATCAGTGTCCTCCAACAATTCAAAAAAAAAAAAAATATGGACAAGTAACCTTGTCTTTCACACTCCCTTTCTTTTAGATTTATAAATTTTTCCGTAAATTCATACCATTTAATAAAAACAGGCATTATTTAAAAAAAAAATTAGTTTAGTTTACCTGCTGTTCTTGAATAGTGACAAATATGCGTAAACCTATTGGCGCACATTGTCTTGGAGCAGGTGGCTAATCGAGTCCACATATCAATGAGGGTGATTATAAAAATTTTAAGAACTAATTAAACATAGATACATTCTAGGACATTTTTTATGCATTACGCAAATTGGTTTTTCTTTTCAAATACCAAGGATGCTGTGAAAGAGAATTCTTTATTACTGACCACAAATTTTATAGAATAATTTAAAATACTTAATAAACATATCAAATATATAAACTTACCAGACATTTGCTCTAAAACAAGAAGCTTCACGGATGAAGTCGATAGAGAATCTTGATTATTTCTGGCAGACAAGAAACAATTATTATTTATTGATTTCTTCTGAGAAAATAATTTTAAAATCGATACTATGCTATACAACAGCCACTGTATTTTATCATACATTCTGTGTTAATCGACAACATAGACGATATTTAAACACAGAGGTATAATCATTCAGTGAACATATTCTTTCTTGATTTTTTTTTCAGTTGCTTGCTAAGTAATAATTCTTCATGTTTTGATTCTCTTAAATATTGTATTTTAACATAGTATCTACAAAGATGCTCCCATTAATAAATAATTACATATTACTTCGGAGTTTATTCCATCAGAAAAATATTGCAAATAAGATTATAAAACAAATAATATATTGTCAAGTGAATAATAAATTCCAGATTTACGGTATTCTTTCTAACAATGCCCTGTAAATATTTTTTAGAACAAGCCTTGAATTGTATCTCTTGTAAGTTAATAATGAACATATTTATGTATCTACCAATAATTATTATTAACATTATAAATTTTTTAATTTTTCTACAGTGTCCTACGCCTTGACCGACTTATGTTCCTTTAGGTATTTATAAATAGTCAATCGAACTGTTTTATCTATAATCAATTATTCAAAACTGTATGGATCACAAAATTTAAATGAATTAAAGAAAGGGCACAATGTTCTTTGAGCTTGTCCTCTATACCGCTCAAATGTCCGAATTTATCTAAGAAAATGTACAAATGTGTATAAATAAGCTCTACTAATTTTACATTATCACTTGCATAGAACAGTCTTTTAGTATCATCGTGCTCCTTAAAATTAACAGACAAGTGATTACTTTGCATTTGCAAGCAATTTGACAAGTGGTACATTTTGGAATATCAATTTTACTTGAAATATAACCGGCTACATTAGTTGTACCTTCATTTTCTTTATTAGAATCACTAGTATCAATACTGTTCAGGTTAAGTTGATGCAACTCATCATCATCCTCATCACAATAAGTGAAAATTTGACGACTTAAATCTGAATTGTTTTACAATAAAAATTGACCAAAATTTCCTAAAGAATTACAATTATCATCTTCTCAATTTTTAGAAGCAGAAACTGTTAAATTATTTAAAACTACTGTCTTTAAAGCAGCTACGAACTGATGGCAAGTTGGATTTGAGTTGGCTATACCGTGTTGGCGTATCTGACAAAATAAATTCTCTACTGTATCCTGATTAAAGGTTCTTAATGAAAGGTACTTTAAACTTTTCTGCCTCAAATTATTCCAAATAAAAATAAGTAATCTGTTTATCAACTGCCATCCTTGAATAAAATCAAATTGTTTAGTACAGTCCCTATTGCACTCAATATCAATTAATTTCCAATTTGAAATTTTTTGTAATAAATTCCAAAATTCTAGATGTGGAGAATCATGTCACATCTCACATTTAAATTTCTTTCCATCAAATGGTATAGAATTAGACCTATTCAATGAATCAAATAAATTATTAATACTATGAATAAATTCTGCTGTAATAATCCTAAATAATAAAATGTTTCTACAGCTGCAGCTACAGTTTGACTCAACTGAGCTGCAGCAACCTTCACCTTTATTTTAATGAATGAATCTTTAAAATTAAAAAACCATATGTTCAAATTTTGCGTATTTGTGATGGTCAAATTGAAGCTTGCAACGAAGCAAAGCATTCCTTGTGCATTTTAATAAATGAGGTACATCGAAAATTGTACATATAGTAACATCATTTATAACAAAATGGTAAAGACTTGGGCGATCTTTGTTTTGAGAATATAGTTCTGTTAGTGCAGCCCTATTTGTGGGGCCCTGATCACAAACTGTTGCGACAATCTGTAAGCCTGTCCTTTGAATTTGTTTTATAATGTGTATTAAAAGTAGTTTCAAATTTTGAGTACTTACTGATAATATTTGAAGTAAAATAATAAGTAATAACGTAATTTTTTCGAATCCCACGCATCATAAACCAATATCTTCATGTCATATATCTTTTGATTTATAGTATCATATTGAAAACCGTTACCTAAAAAAACTTCATCAAATATTACGGTACAATATCGATCAAGTTCATCCATATTCTGAACCTTTTAGGGGAGATTTTAAATGCTGCAATACAGTATCAAAGGGTATCCTTTCAGAGTTCTTATCGATGGCAACTGAAAATATCTATATAACTGAGGGTTGCTTTCGCTGTACAGCAAAGATAAAACGCTCTCTCAACGGTAATAATAAAATATTTTATTGAAAACTAAGTTGTATAGAAAAAGACGTGTTGACGGTTTGAGGGTTTACTGGAGAGTCCCTGTGTGTGGAGTCGGTCGTAGGTATATGAGTACGCATCTGGTCGCCGGCGCCAGCCCGCCGTAGACCCTTCCTGGAACGTTAGCGCGTCCGGCGACGCTTTTGACGCAATGCTTAAAAATGGGTCACTTGCGAACATGTGTACCCACATAACCGTGGACTTCTCTTCAAAATAGACAAAGCAGTAAACTCCATTGATTTGCATTAGGGATCGATTTACATTTCTTAGTTGTGAGTTACTGAATTCTTGATTGAAAGCAAATCTCCCATCATCATATAGATCTCTTAATGAATT